TTATTTAGACATCACTGGCAAAGGTCAACATACCAGCTCCCACACTGCCCAATCGTAGGGTTCACCTTTTAAATAACAACCTTTATTGGACAATCTCTCTTTTTCTTCCTGAACAACTCAGGAGAGTTTACATATTTTTCCTGTGGACCTTCGCTTCGCAGGATGTTCACGGAGTAGTGCATTGACCTTGCTTTGTTAAGATTTACAGGCGTTGCTGGGGCATAGTAGGCTGAGCCTCTACCTGCATCACCAGCATCCCAGTTCCAGTCCCAACTGCTCCTCTTCCGATGTGGCTCTGTGCTGTGGCCTGGGAAATCAGTGGAAGATGGCCCAAGTCCTTGGGCCCCTGCACCCACGTGGGAGACCTGGAATAAGCTCCTGGCTCTGGATCAGCTCAGCTCTGGCCATTGCAGTCATTTGGGGGGTTAACTAGTGGATAGAAGACCTCTCTCTCCCTCTCTCTCTCTGGCTCTACCTCTCTGTAATTCTTTCAAATAAATAAAATAAATCTTTTTTTTCTTTTTTTTTAAATTTTTTAATTTATTTTGACAGGCAGAGTGGACAGTGACAGAGAGACAGAGAGAAAGGTCTTCCTTTGCCGTTGGTTCACCCTCTAATGGCCGCCGCGGCCGGTGTGCTGCGGCCGGTGCACTGCGCTGATCCGATGGCAGGAGCCAGGTGCTTCTCCTGGTCTCCCATGGGGTGCAGGGCCCAAGCACTAGGGCCATCCTCCACTGCACTCCCGGGCCACAGCAGAGAGCTGGCCTGGAAGAGGGGCAACCGGGACAGAATCCGGCGCCCCGACCGGGACTAGAACCCAGAGTGCCGGCCCCACAAGGCGGAGGATTAGCCTAGTGAGCTGCGGCGCCGGCCCAAATAAATCTTTTTTTTTTTTTTTAAAGAATATTTTGAGATAGAATGTGAAAAATTTCAGAAAAGCACTTAAATAAAATAATAGTATTATCAAAAATATGGTCTGCATAATAGCTGATTCTGAAATGGTGATGTCAGTTAACAGCTGGCCAAGAACATTATCCTAGATCTTTGTTGGGCTAGTGGGACATCTAGCTTTCCAACTTCCAATGTCATGGTAACAGGTAAGAAGCACAGCGGACAAATGCATCAATGAAGTAATCTTGCCCAAAAATTTGTACCTGAATCGGATCAAGCATCTATATCTTCCAATTCAAAAAGAAATAAGTAGGACACAAGGAACATAAAAAAGATGCGGTCATCAAAATCCAACTGATGAGAAATGCTCCAGGACAGAGAACAAAGCTTTCTTCTTTCTTTTTTTTAAAAAGATCTATTTATTTATTTGAAAGGCAAAGTTACAGAGAGAGGAGAGACAGAGAGAAGTCTTCCATCCGCTGGTTCACCCCCCCAGATGGCTGCAACAGCCAGAGCTGTGCTGATCCAAAGCCAGGAGCCAAGAGCTTCTTCCGGGTCTCCCACGTGGGTACAGGGGCCCAAGGACTTGGGCCATCTTCTACTGCTTTCCCAGGCCATAGCAGAGAGCTGGGTTGGAATTGGAGCAGCCAGGACTCATATCAGTGATATGAGATACCGACACTGCAGGCCGTGGCTTTAACCGGCTGAGCCACAGCACTGGCCCCAAGAACCCAGTTTTTTCAACAAATAAATTCACACTGTCTCACACACTGGAACACATGGCATCAGCCTCCTGAAATTCTTGCTCTACAGGTCCTTGCACACTGCACAGGGCATTGCAGCGACGCCTGTCTCCCAGCACAGCACCAGCACAGAGGGGAGAAACAAGGCAGACAGCCAGGCTGAAATCCCAGTGTTACCCCTCAGTTAACTCTGCTACAGACTGAAAATGCCACCTGCTGCTCCAGGGGAGCTCCAGGACTCCACGAGAAGACATAGGTAAAGCACCCAGCAGAATGTGTGGCGGACCTTAGACAGTTAGTAACTACCTAGCAGTGAATAAATAAGAAACGTAAACAACCAAATCAAGCAGCTGCTCCTTTCTTCTCATTTGATCTCATCAACCACTTTCTACAGTAACTAATGAACAGGAAAATGGCAAAACATACAAAATGGGGAGGCAACTGAAAGAAAAAAATAAGCTCCCAATGTCTAGATAATTGAGCCTGACACTAAGATACTGAGGAATAGTTTAATCACAGCAAATACCACATGTTGAAGGATAGTTATCGAGAAAAGGGCTAGACTTGACAAACGCAGTAAAAGCGATCAAATTTATTTTCTGACCAAAATCTCTCAAGCATAACTTTTCACAATATGGAATATGTTTTTAAGAATTTTTAAAATGCCAAAATTACCATTTTGAATAGTTTCAATTTTCTCACTTACGCAAACACTGAATTAAATCTTTTAACTTTCTCATCTGAACAGTAGGTGGCGTAATTCACATAGTGAGTGAGTGGTGGCAGAGTGAGTGATGTGGAGACAGGAAAACGAGAAAGCTCCATAAAGCACCATCCAAAATTTTGAAAGCATTCACGTACAGTTGTTTAAAAGGCCTAATTTGAAAATAAGGATTTTCAAATAATATGGAAATACTTACATCGCAATTTGTCCAGCATTTTTCCACCACACATGGTTGCTAACATAGCTTTAACTGAAAATACCGTCAACTTGCCTCGGCCCTCACTGCAAAATAAATTATATTAGAAATAATTGCTATCTGGAACCACAAAAGCAATCAAGTGTATCACTAAATATTCAGCAACCAGTAAATTGATTCCTGCCCGTCTCGTGGGAAACGATTTTTACCACATTTAGAAACCCTGGGTTTTTTGTTTAATTATTTTTATTTATTTATTTATTTATTTTGCAGAATTAAGGCTTTGTCTGTGCTAGGTGATGAATGCTAAAGTTACCCTACATTATCTGGAAATGAGTTTGGGAAGGAGTCTATAAGGTAACTGATATGGGTCATGTAAGCAGAGGGCAAATGGATGAGCCCGAAAAAAACTTCCCATCAACTAAACCCAATCCATCCACAGCACAGGTGTGTGGAGGCACTCAAACCCGAAGGGTCACTGGGTTTGACTGTAACTCAGACACACGTCCTTGAATCAGGGCAGCACGGCAACAGTTAGGTGCCTAACCGCTAGGTGCTAAGCCATGAAGACGGCACAGTGGCCCCTTCTCCGTGACAGCCTCTTGCTTCTGTGTGCTTATCCTAAGCGCTCCATTACATCTGTCTCTCAGACGCTCCCACTAGCAGCAGGAGGAAAGTTAGCGGGGTGGGATGGTAACATCAATGCTTGGTCTGGGACTAGATGGATGAGCTACACTAGAACCCAAAGACCTCCCCCACAGTGGTGCTACACGCCACTCGCGGAGCCAAGGCGCTCGGCCCCAGCCAGCCATGCCCGGCTCACGGCCACTTGTTAACTTAGTTATCACAGTGAGTCCACAGAGAACCTGTGCTCACAAAGTTTCATGGTGACCCAGAGCGAAGAACCTCTGCCCCACGAAAGCTCCGTCAGTGTGGTGTCAAAGCCGGTGTGCCAGTCACATCCACTCTTGTCAGTGTGGTGTCAAAGCCGGTGTGCTAGTCACATCCACTCTGTCAGTGTGGTGTCAAAGCCGGTGTGCTAGTCACATCCGCTCTTGGTCTTAGAGCGTCTGCCACTCTCCAAACCTTCCCTGCACGCAGAAAGATCACACTGGAAAAAAGGCTAATGGTCCATAAGCCAGAAGGTTCTTGGTAAAAGCAGTGCCAGGAAGTGCCAGCGTTTGTGACAGCAGGATGCTGAGTCACCACACCTCGTTGAGTTCACTCGTAAAACAAAATAGGGGCCGGCGCTGCGGCTCACTAGGCTAATCCTCCACCTAGCGGCGCCGGCACACCGGGTTCTACTCCCGGTCGGGGCGCCGGATTCTGTCCCGCTTGCCCCTCTTCCAGACCATCTCTCTGCTGTGGCCAGGGAGTGCAATGGAGGATGGCCCAAGTGCTTGGGCCCTGCACCCCATGGGAGACCAGGAGAAGTACCTGGCTCCTGGCTTTGGATTAGTGCTATGCGCCGGCCGCAGCGGCTATTGGAGGGTGAACCAACGGCAAAGGAAGACCTTTCTCTCTGTCTCTCTCTCTCACTGTCCACTCTGCCTGTCAAAAAAAAAAATTTTTTTTTTTTAAAAAACAAAACAAAATAGGGATCCCTGCAACTGGCTAAAACAAGGGTGGAGTTTTTAGCTACATGATTCTCCATCACACGAGGGAGCTCAATACCTACAAGATCACGAATACATTTAAAAGGAATGTATTTCTAAGACTGACACAGACTTTTTAGAGTGGACTTTCTTGTTTTTAACACCAAGCACCCAAATGCTGAGCTTACATTTAGACACACCTCTCTTATGGGACACGTTCACTTTGCTCTATAAAAGAGAGAAAAACCTATTTGCTTTCCCAGAGGACATGAGCATAGGACACAAGCTCCACTAACACAGCGCACTCGCTCTAGGACTCAACAGGAAACAGGGAAGGCAGAGCAGCAGGGACTCCAGAAGGACCCACCTGCTGAGGCCGGCTGCGTGGCTGCAGCTACGTCCCAGGTCCCACGGGTTCCCAAGGCAGTGGCCACAGCCCGCTGTCCAGCATGCTCGGGACATAAGCAACAGTGCCTGTGCCCAGATGTCCTCGTGAGCCAGGTCTGGGTGGTTTCTATCACATGGTAAAGTGGCCCAAAAAGTTGAAGCAAGAAAACTGCTTACGTCCAGGGTGTGACACAGAACGCCTGGTGATGCAACTACATCAAACTAAGCTGCTTCTGCACAGCCAAGGAAACGAGCACTGGAGTGGAGAGACAGCCGCAGGACAGGAGAAAATACTGGCAAACTCTCCGTCTGACAAGGGGTTACTTCCAGAACACAGAAGGAACTCAAGAGCGAAAAGCCACAAATAATCTGATTCTAAAATGGGCAAAAGACCTCAAAAAGACACTTCTCAAAAAAGATACACAAACGCTCAGCAAGTATCTGAAAAAATGCTCAATATCTCTAATGACCCAACAAGTGCAAATCAAAGCAAGGCATCACCTGACCTCATCAGAACAGCTGGCATCAGAAAGACAAAAAAAAAAATGCTGGCAAGGATGAGGAGGAAGGGAACTCACAGGCAGCCGAGGAACGCGTGGGTGAGCACAGCCACTACAGAACAGCCTGAGGATTCCCTGAAAACTAAACTCCCATAAGGCCCAACAAGCCCACTGCTGAGTACATATCCCACAGGGAAGGAAGCCAGTCTGCCCAAGGGGTACCTGGACTGCAGCACACGAGCCAAGACAGGGACTCCACCCACTGACAGAGGAGTGGACAAAAAAAATCTGCAATGCATACACACGGAATACTATTCAGTCATTCAAAAAGAATGAAATCCTGTCATTTGCGACAACACAGACAAATCTAGAGGACATCAGGCTATGTGGAGTAAGACAAGCACAGAAAGGCAAATGCTGCGTGTTCTCAGAGGAGATGTGGAGAACAGCGGTGATCAGAGGCTGGGAGGGCGGGTGGGCGGGCAGGCATGTTGGTTAATGGGGATAGAACTACATCCAGGTGGGAAGGTAAAGTTCTAGTGCTCTACAGTGCAGTGGAGGGACTATAGGTAGCAGTAATTTATTGTATATTTCAAGATACCTAGAAGATTTTTGAGTATTCCCAACACGGAAGGGTGATAAGTGTTTAAGGCAACAGATGTGCAAATTACCCTGATTTGATCATTGCACACTGCATCCATCTATCAGAACAGTGTGTCCCATAAATAGGCAGTTTTTATGTGTCCAGTAAAAACACAATAAAACATATGAAAGTTTTTTATTTATTTGAAAAGCAGAGGCACAAGCAGAGAGAGAGACAGAGAAAGTCGCCATCTGACGGTTCACTGCCCAAATGCCTGCAAAGGCAGGATTGGAACAAGGCCCGGAGCTCAGCCCAGTCTCCCACGGGGGTAGCAAGAACTCATTCTCCTGAGCCATCAGCACTGCCTCCCAGGGTCTGCACTATCAGGAAGCTGGGGTCAGGAGCCAGAGCTGGACCGTAGACGTCCTAACAGAACATCTACACACCTGTCCTGGAAAATACCTTCTTGACTTGTGGGGGGGAATCATGCCTGCTGACCAGCAGAGTGAGAATGAGGAGGAAGCGCTTGCAAACAGGAGAGCAGAGACCTGCTGGAAAGCTAACGATAGTTTTAAAGTAAACTTGCTCAAAATGGCTACAGATTTCCCACAAGGCAAATGAAAAATTAACCCTGAAAGAGATTTCCATGAGACGCGTCTGTTGATCCCTGGGGAAGAGCATGCTGGTGACCAGAACGGCCACACAGGGCTCCCGGGTGCTGCCCGCAGGGGGGCTCCTGCCCTCTGCAGGACTTATATGGGTGGCTGCTTTACAACAGCTCATTCAGCTGTGCTTGCTTTCATTTTTTTTTTCTGTATGTGATTTATACTTCTTGATAAAAACAGCTTTTAAGAAAGGAATCCTGGGACAGTGGGTTATCATTAGTGGACGAGGCTGCTGGTTTAAGGAGAAAATACTGAAGGGGAAATATAAGGTCAAAAGCTTCTTAGATTCCACACACGTTGCCATAGTAAAATGTATGCAAAAGGAAGATAACAAAGACGCTGAGGCCCAGGCCCAACCCCCACAGACCCTAACCATCGGGCTGGGGGGTCCTGGCACTCCTAAGGCAACAGCTCCTCCGGGTGACTCAAAGCCCAGCTGGCATGGAGAAGCCCTGGCCCCAGAAGCCAATCTGATCAGTAAAGACCCAACAGGCAAGTGAGCAACACGAAGAAACACAAATGACTGCTGAGCACACCGAAAGGCACTGACCTCCATTAATAATGACAGAAATACAAATGAAAACTACAATGAGTTTCTTGTTACTTGAATCAATGACTCTCTCCAGAGACTGTCCTTAATCTAAAACAGTGTGAAGTCTTAGAAGAGTTTTTCTTTTTTTTTTTTTTTTTTTCAAAGATTTGTTTTATTTTATTTGGGAAAGAGAGAGAGGAAAAGATAAAGATTGAGAGATCTTTAATATGCTGATTCACTCCCCAAATGGCCCCAGCAGCCAGGACTGGGTCAGTTCGAAGCCAGGAGCTCCATCCAGGTCTCCCACCAGGTTGCAGGGGCCCAAGGACCTTGGGCCATCCTCCCATGTGGGCACCAGTGCTGCAGGCAGCAGCTAAACCCATTAGGCCACAACACTAGCCCCCAAGAAGAGTTCTTTAAAAATAGTTTGACTACATATATTTTATTTCCCCTTATTTTACAGTGTAATATTCATCAGCATTTCCCCCAATTAAATAATGTTAAAATAAATCACTTTTGAGAGAGAGCAAGTGTTTGTGCCAGAAAAAAAGTCATCTCTCTGGTCTTATGAAATGTTAAGCTTTAACCACAACCAATGACTACACTTTTGGTTAATTCTGTGTAGTGTGCTGTTTTAACTTCTCTTTGAAGTATACTGAGGAGGGGCCAGGCTGTGATGTAAGCCGCTGCCTGGGATGCCAGCATCCCATACGGACACCAGTTCAAGTCCCAGCTGCCCCACTTCCAATCCAGTTCCCTGCTCATTGCCTGGGAAAAGCAAAGGAAGACAGCCTAAGTGCTCGGGCCCCTGCCACCTATGTGGG